AGATACCACTCCATTGCTTTCTGGACTTTGTTGTTGATGAGATGTTATTAGTACTATCAATCTATCAATACTTTTCTTTGCTAATTTGTTATTAATACTATCAATCTATCAATATTTTTCTTTGCTAATTTGTTATTAATACTATCAATCTATCAGTACTTTTCTTTGCTAATTTTAATGATTTTTCTCTTTCTTCTTTATTTTCATTATGTGACCAAGGTGTGGACTTATTTTCATTGTATTTTTATCTATTTTTAGTAGATAATTCTAGTAATAAATTTTTAATCTAAAATTTTATTTTTTAATCAATATTCTAGAATATTCCTAGCAATTAATTCTTCAGAGGTAGCCTACCGTCATTTCTTCCTTTCTCTGTTTCTATAATTTTTATTGAACATTAGATATTAGGCTTATCAATCTTTCATGTGTCTTAACTTCTCTTCAATATTTTTTTCTTTTATTTTCTAGATTGCATTCTGGGTAAGCCTCTTAGTATCATTTTCCAAATTCACCAATTAGCTCTTTTAATTAGAAGCCAAGTCAGAATGTATCCCAGCTCTTGCAGTTTTAAAATTTGGATGTTTGATATAAGTTTGATGTTCAAGTTGTCTTATGGATTCTTGAAATCAGTTGATTCACACGACTTTGTTTTATTTCTGTTCATGTTGTTTCAAAACTTTGTTCTTTTCAAAATAGCGGTTATGTCCTGGTTTATTTCCTTAAGCATAACTTATTTTAAAGTTTTTATCAAACTGTTCAATGAAATGAATTTCATATTGAGTGTTTTGATTATTGATTGCGCTGGTTTCCTTTCTTTTTTTAAAAAAATATTTATTTTTGGGGGGCTGTGCTGGGTCTTCATTGTGGTGCACAGACTTCTCATTGTGGTGACCTCTTGTTGCGGGCTCTAGGTGCTCAGGCTTCAGTAGTTGTGGCTCATGGGCTCAGCTGCTATGAGGCACACTGGATCTTCCTGGACCAGGGATCAAACCCATGTCTGCTGCACCAGCTGCCAGACTCCCAACCACAGAACCACCAGGGAAGTCCCTCAATGGCTTTTTAAACATTAGAATTCTTCAAGTGTTTGTAATATTGCCCTGCAGGCCTCTGTTTCCCTCTCTCTGTCACAGACACAAAGACACAAATACACACCCACACACAAAATAACTTCAGAGTCTGGGATCTCAAAAGCAAATAAAAGAAAGAAGATGCGTAGGAGTTACCAATTCAGGAGGACAAGTTTCTCTTACAAGGACAGACAGCTTGGTAACAACCTTAGAAGTCTTTCTCACTATTGATAATTCTGGGAAATGTGCAAAACTAATATTTTATTAGCATCTTGTATAGGATTTATCATGTAGTATGTATTAAATACATATTTGTTGAATTCATTTCTTAATAACCATGCTAAAGATAATTGTAAGACCACTCAAAATCATACCTACAGAAGGAAACTGAAGCCCTATAGTTATAGAGGCTTCTAAAAGCATTGGAAGGAAAAATAAAAAGTAGTAAAATGTTACTGAAACTATTAATCCAGGCCTAAAGCTCCCAGGTACTATCTTTAGAAAGTAATGAACTAGAGCAAATGGAGTCAGGATGTCTCATTATCATAAAGTCTGGGAATGTGAATCCCACAGAGAAAAGGTTGACAGCTAGGGAAGAAATGAGCAGAAAGAATTAAGAAGGAAATGCTAGAGGGTTTAACATGAGGAGGGGTTTACAAAAGATAAGGTGTGTTAATTGAAAATAAGAAGCACTAATATTAATAAAAAAAAATGGGACTGACTGAATGCCCATATGAGATGTTATCCAAGGTCTGGAGAGATTTAGGAAAGGAGACATCAGAGTAAGAACTATAATACATTATATTTGTACAGCAAATTGCTTTTTAGTTTAGGAAGCTTTTCTACAGACTTTATTTTACGTGAACTTTACAAGTACTCTATGAAGTAGAAAAATTATTATTTAGGTTCAGGGATAGTGACATTATTGAGCAGCTTTTCTTTTCTTTCTTTTCTTCTTTTATTTTTGGCCACACAGCGGAGTTTATGGGATCTTAGTTCCCCAACCAGGGATTGAATTCGCACCCACAGCAGTGAAAGTTCGGAAGACTGCCAGGGAAGTCAAGAGCAGTTTCTTTATGCTAAAAATTTCACCTGTTTATACAGTTTACTTGGAGTTAGAAAACCTGGGCTCAAATTTCAGCTCTTCTACTTAAAAGGTAGGAGGCCTTGAGCAAGTTACTTAACATCTCTGTTCTTAGTTTCTTTACATATAAGATGGCCTAATAAAAGTTTTTATTGAAGGGATTGCTATGAGGTTTCCATGACTTAAGACTTTTAAAATACTTACAACAGAGTCTGGCACACAGCAAGGACCTTCTCAATGTTCTATATAATAATAATCACTTTCTTCTCTGAAGGAGCGATTGAGGTTCTGAGAAGTTGAGTTTTTGATCAGGGTCATGTAATTAGTCAATTTAAAAGCTCAAAGTTAGAGTCTCACTCCAGAGTCTCTGCTTTTCTAGAAACATTGCATATCGCTCCAGTCAGTCATTGTTTGTGGAGATATTGAGACAGAATATTAATATAAAAAATGGAAGAAGAAAAAAAAGTGGAAGAATGTGTATGTATAAAATCAAGCAGGAAACATCCACTGGGAGAAGAGTCCTCAGGTAAAGTGAGTACTTCAGTAAGTGTAGGTAAGCAAGCTTGGAAGGGCTGTTTTAGCTCTGTGTCTGTAGGGTTTGGTACAGTGCATGACATCCTTGACATGAAACTGAATTACTTTTTGGTCATCTAATAAGCACTCTCCAATAAAAAGCAAGACTTCAAATGGCCTTTGGGAAACCACCTGTAACCTACTCTTAGTCATGGTATTTGGGTGAGAATGACTCCTAATCACCTCCTAGCTCCAGGGGTGGATGGTCACGATTTGATTCATTTTCTCAATATCCTATTTCCCTTGTCACAGCAAATAGCCATAAATGGTCATGTCAATCAGTTCAGACTAAAATAAACCAAGGAGAAGTTTGCTGGAATTTTGCAGGAGGAAATTGCATTTCTTCTTGGAATTACTAGTAGGTGCGCTTACATTTTTCTTGGATGAGGCCCTGTGAGGATGTGAGGGCTGGAACTGCTGCAGCCATTTTGCTATTATTAGAGAAACTGAAAGAGAAGAGTAGGGGAGGAAAAATCTTTGGTGACATCAGCTGTTTATTGTGTGGGCTTATAAATAAACTGCTTGCCTGGAGAATCCTGTGAATGTAGGAGCCTGGTAGGCTGCAGTCCATGGGGTCGCTAAGAGTCAGACACGACTGAGCGTCCTCACTTTCACTTTTCACTTTCATGCATTGGAGAAGGAAATGGCAACCCACTCCAGTATTCTTGCCTGGAGAATCCCAGGGATGGGGGAGCCTGGTGGGCTTCCGTCTATGGAGTCGCACAGAGTCGGACACGACTGAAGTGACTTAGCATTAGCATAAATAAACTGAGTGTTGTCTGGAGCCAGTCTTACTTCTGGACTTTTCAGTTATGCAGCTCCTGTATTGTTTTAGATAAAGAGTATGTGCTTTTTCTTTTTGTCACTAGTAACACAAAAACTTCTGATACAGTAAGTTTTCAATAAATAGTTATGAAAAAGAATTTGGATTTTTTAAAAATAAGATTGGTCCATAATCTTAATATATAAAAAAAAACTGTTAAAAACAGTTTAGAAAGGACTTCCCTGGCAGTAAAGTGGATTGGAATCCACTTGTCAATGCAGGGGACATGGGTTTGATCCCTGGTCTGGGAGGATTCCACATGCCGTGCAACAACTAAGCCTGAGCCCCACAGCTAGAGAGTCCATGTGCCGCAGATCCCTCCTTCTGCAACAAAGATCCTGCGTGCTGCAACTAAGACCCAAGGCAGCCAAATTAATCACTTAATTAAAAAGATAAATTAAAGTTAATTAATTAAAAAAAGATTATATGGACAAGGTTATTTATTGCCCTGGTTAAATTTAAACAATAATACAGCTACTCAATAGAGTATTCTGTTGCTGAAGAAAAGAATGAAGAATATCTCTATATCTTAATATATCCAATATATTAAGTGGAAAGGAAAAGTAGAGAAAAATGTATATAGTAGGCAAACAATTGACTAAGAAGGAGATTATATGAATACATACATTTGTTTATATTTTTAAAAATGGAAGATAGACCTTATAATTTTTGAAGAATAGTCAGGGAAGAAGGAGGAAGCGTGGTGGGGGCAGATATTGAAGCTCAACTTCCTTGACTATACCTTTGATTGAGGATTCGTTAAATATTTTACATAATTGTAAATTAAATTAAATTAAAAAGCAGGCCCTAAAAACAAAAAGGGAAGTAAAATACCTCTATGGGTGACATAACTACATAGAATAATTTTTACAAGTGACTTTAAAACAGTCGTTTGACTGTACATTCTAGGGACAAATACTACGTGCAAACTTTGTCATCAGAATGTCTAAATTTTAGCTGATGTTAGTATCATTAAAATAAGAAATTAAGACTTCCATTTCTGGGGACTTCTCTGGAGGTCCAGAGGTTAAGACTTCACCTTCCAATGCAGGGGATGAGGATTCGATCCTTGGTCTGCAAGCTAAGATCCCACATGCCTCATGGCCAAAAAACCAGGACATAAAAAACAACAGAATCAATACTGTAATAACTTCAATAAAGATTTTAAAAATGGTCCGCATCAAAAAAAAAATGACTTTCACTAATGGATTGTTGTTTAGTCGATAAGTCATGTCTGACTCTTTTGCAACCCCATGAACTATAGCCTGCCAGGCTCCTCTGTCCATGGGATTTCCCAGGCAAGAATACTGGAGTGGGTTGCCATTTCCTTCTCCAGGGCATCTTCAAACCCAGGGATCGAACCTGAGCCTTCTGCTTTGTCAGGCCGATTCTTTAGCACTGAGTCCCCTGGGAAGCCTGACAGAGATGTTCTTTTCTCCATTTCTCCCGTTAGGTACAACCCGAATCCCTGAGCGTTATATAAAAACAAGCATAAGAAGACTCTGAGAGCTGAAGAGAAGCAGGCAGATTGGCCATGGACCTCAGGATCCAAGGAACAATGTAGCAGTGATTTCCCTGGGTTTTCTTCCTTGCTTCATGAATCCTGGGCTGAGTGTCAGAAACGCCAATGAGGACAGACATAAAAGCAGCGAGAAAAGCCTGGTCTCTCTAACCAAGGGGCCAGCAAACGGGCAGCCTCATAAGACAGACGTCTTGCAGACACCTCTCTTCAAGTCAAACATTATCCCACCCCCATGAGCCAAAGCTGAATGTGGAGCCGAGGTGCCCACCCTTGCCTGACAGTTTGTTACCAGTCACCCCTCATCCTGCCCTGACCACAGAGGTGTCAGAGCTGGGCAGTCAGAGAGCTGAAACTTGAGTGTCAGCAGTAACAAGGACCCTGCTGGCCAGGTTGTCAGCGGACGTCACTTGGGAAGTAGTAACTAGGCACTCCTATCCCCACAATGACAACCCAGAATTCTACAGCCAGTGGAAACAACCTTGAGGAATAAAGGGGAAATCAAGATGCTCACAGCTGAAGGAAAGCTAAAGGGATTTGTTGCCAGATTGACCCTCAGATAATGGCTTAAGGAAGTTCTGTAAACAGAAGATGAAAAAAGAAAGAAACCTTGGAACATCAGGAAGGAAGGCAGTACAAGAGAGTAAAATTGAGTTGGTATAACTTGCTTTCCTTTTTCTCTTTGGTCTTCTAAATCGCCATTGAGGCAAAATTAGGACAATTTCTGATATGGTTATTGTGTATGCAGAGGAGACTTTTTAGATGATTATATTATAAATGGGAGAGGGTAAAGAGAGGTAAACTTTCATTTACACTAGCAAAGTGTTATCTGTAGCCTATAATTGTCTAGTCACTAAGTTGTATCCAACTCTTTTGTGACCCCATGGACTGTAGCCCACCAGGCTCTTCTGTCCATGGGATTTCCCAGGCAAGAATACTGGAGTGGGTTGTGATTCCCTCCTCCAGGTGATCTTCCCAACCCAGGGATTGAACCTGCGTCTCTTCCACTGGCAGGAGGATTTTTTTACCACTGAGCCACCACAGAAGCCCCAGGCTATCGAGGGTATCTATATAATGTAACAGGGCTTCCCTGGTCACTTAGTGAAAAAGAATCCACCTGCAATGTAGGAGACTCAGGATCCCAGAGTTTGATCCCTGGGTCAGGAAGATGCCCTGGAGGAAGGCATGGCTGATACAATCCCTAACCTGTCAGTGATATTTCAAAGGCATCAGGGTGAGTGAAAAAAGAATGCCTTTCTCCAAAGGTCACATATTGTATAATTCCATTTATATAACATTTTAAAAATTGAAAATTATACTGATGGACAAGAAATTAGTGGCTGCCAGGGGCCCAGGATGGCGGGAGTGGGTGGGTGTGACCTCAATGGTAACATGAAGGAGATTTGGCTGGTGGTAGCTCCATGAGTATACAGATGCCATAAAATAGCATAGAACTGTAAACATACATTGTGCCAATGTCAATTTCCTGTGCTGATATTATGCTATAGTTTTGTAAGCTATAACCACTGAGGGAAACCAGATGAAGCGCACAGGGAATTCTGTCTATTTTTGCGAATTCCTGTGACTGTATAACTATATCCAAATTAAAGGTTAAAAACATTAGTTATTAAAGAACAATGTTTTGAAAGTTTTAAAATATGCACCTAGTACAATGATAATGAGAAGACACAAGGGCCTAATTCAGTATAAATAAATCAGGGCAACTTGACTGAGGAGGCAACATCCATAGTGAAACTTGCAGGACAAATGTTTGTCAGGCAAAGCGCAACGTTGACCAGGACATTTCAGTATTATGGACTTGTAAGTACCCCCAAAGAGGAAAATGGGAGGAAAAGACTATTTGCAGAAGCATGTGTGGTTCATTATGAATAGGCTGTGTGGTTCCCTGGGAGTGTGGTAGGTCTCATGAATGAACATGACCACCTCCACAGACATTCCAAGGACATAAGTTTGATTGCCCATGTGTATGCTGACTTGGGCTTCCTTGATAGCTCCGTTGGTAAAGAATCCTCCTGCAATGCAGGAGACTCCAGTTCCATTCCTGGGTCGGGAAGATCCGCTGAAGAAGGGATAGGCTATCCACTCCAGTATTCTTGGGCTTCCCTGGTTGGTAAAGAATCTGCCTGCAATGTGGGAGACTTGGGGTTGATCCCTGGGTTGGGAAGATCCCCTGGAGAGGGGAATGGCTGCCCTCTCCAGTGTTCTGGCCTGGAAAATTCCATGGACTATAGTCCATGGGGTTGCAAAGAGTTGGACACTACTGAGTGACTTTCACTTTGCCTTTCACGCTGACTTGGTCTTCCCAGGTGGCGCTAGTGGTAAAGAACTGCCTGCTAATGCAGGAGAGGTAAGAGACCTGGGTTCAATCCCTGGGCTGGGAAGATCCCCTGGAGGAGGAAATGGTGCCGCACTACAGTATTCTTGCCTGGAGATTCCCAAGGACAGAAGAGCCTGGCAGGCTGAAGTCCATAGGCTCACAGAGTCAGACAGGACTGAGTCAGACAGGCCTTAACACACATGCATGCTGACTTCTGTCTTTCTCAGTTCAGTTCAGTCGCTCAGTGATGTCTGACTCTGCAACGCCGTGGACTGCAGCATACCAGGTTTCCCTGTCCTTCACCAACTCCTGGAGCTTGCTCAAACTCATGTGCATTGAGTCGGTGATGCCATCCACTATCTCGTCCTCCGTCATCCCCTTCTCCTCCTGCTTTCAGTCTTTCCCAGCATCAGGTTCTTTTCAATGAGTCAGTTTTCACATCAGGTGGCCAAAGTATTGGAGTTTCAGCTTCAGCATCAGTCCTTCCAATGAATATTCAGGACTGATTTCCTGTCGGATGGACTGGTTTGATCTCCATGCAGTCCAAGGGACTCTCAAGAGTCTTCTCCAACACCACAGTTCAAAAGCATCAATTCTTCGGTGCTCAGCTTTCTTTATAGTCCATCTCTCACATCCATACATGACTACTGGAAAAACCATAGCTTTGACTAGATGGACCTTTGTTGGCAAAGTAATGTCTCTGCTTTTTAACATGCTATCTAGGTTGGTCGTAACTTTCCTTCCAAGGAGTAAGCGTCTTTTAATTTCATGGCTGCAGTCACCATCTGCAGTGATTTTGGAGCCCCCCAAAATAAAATCTGTCACTGTTTCCATTGTTTCCCTATCTATTTGCCGTGAAGTGATGGGACTGGATGCCATGATCTTAGTTTTTTGAATGTTGAGTTTTAAATCAACTTTTTCACTCTCTTCTTTCACTTTCGTCAAGAGAATCTTTAGTTCTTTGCTTTCTTTTTCCCTGATACAAATTGTATCACTATGATTTCATGATGAAATATTAAGAAACAAGACACAGTATTCTTTTTGTATGCCTCATACCACTGACCTTCAATTAATTATCCTTTTTTATCATGCTTGTGTGCTCAAAATTTTAATAGAAGAAAGAGGACAGAAGAAGCCAGCTAGATATTGGGAAGAGGTGGAAGTGGATTTTAAACATTTATTACATAATGGGTGGGACTACCCTGGTGGTCCAGTGGCTAAGACTGTGCTTCCAGTGCAGAGGACATGGGTTTGATTCCTGGTTCCGGAACTAAGATCCCACATGCCATGTGGCATGATCAAACCAAAACCCCCAAAAACAAAAACCAAATAAAAAATTTGTAAAAATCCGATCAAAAGTTATAAACAAAAAATAATGGGAGGTACTATTTAAAAAAAAAACACACACAACTACCAAAAAGCACTGACCCTGTGGGACAGGAAATATCTGCAGTGTCCATCTGGGCTTAGATGTACACAAATGCAGGATCATGAGCTTTGTAAGATGTTCCCTTCAGGGACTGTTGCCGTTGTTTAGTTGTACAGTCGTGTCCAACTCTCTGCGACCCCATGGACTGTATCTCACCAGGCTCCTCTGCCCATGGGTTTCTCCAGGCAAGAATACTGGAGTGGGTAGCTACTTCCTTCTCCAGGGCATCTTCCCAGCCCAGGGATCAGACCCGAGTCTCCTGCATCGGCAGGTGATTTCTTTACCACTGAACCACCAGAGAAGCCCACTCAGGAATACAATAGGCTATGTAATCCCCCAGATACCGAGTATGCTGCCATTAGAAAATCAGGACAAATGCCAAATGTTTCTTCTAGTTCCAAGTTACATTAAAATGATTGGGAGGATTGACCTGCATCTGTAGGAAAAAAGAATGAGCCCATGGTTTGTCAGTATGGGTCAAATATTTCAATTCATTTAAACTTACATTTATCCAACTGAGTTTTCACTGTGTGTCAGGGATTCTTCTAAACACAGAGGCCTTCAAAACTTAAAAGCCAGGACATAACTTGGCCACATATGAGTTTCAGAACTTTTCCATGTAAAAAAATAGAAACATAATTATGGTATTCAACAAACTGGGGAAAATGTTGGCCCAAAATAGGAAAGACAAATGGTTACTATTCTTAAAATACAAAGAGCTCATCTAATTTTGCAATTGAAAAATTGATGTAAAACTAAAATAGATAATTCAGAGAAGATATATTTATATATGGTTAGTAAAAATTTGAAGTGATGTTCATTCTCACTGTTAATCAAAAAATAATAAGTTTAAACAAAATACTTCCCAAAAGTATAGGAAATAACATATACAGTTGCCAAGGGTAAGTAAATGCACAAATAAGTTCAAATTTTTGAAAAATCTTTTAATATGAGCTGAATCTAAAAATATTTAATAACTTTGCTCTAGAGATGGTACTCTAAGGATTTTTCACGAAGAAATAATAAAAAGGCAGACAAATAATTATATATATGAATATTCATTTAAATATTAGAGCAAATACTTTTAAAATAATCTAAATTCTAATGAGGGCAGTGATATAATAACACTAAATTCAGAAATTGCACTATTATGTAGACCCTGAAAATAGTGTTTCAAAGATTGACATGGTAAAATACATAGTCTACAAATATCAAATAAAAAGAGTTAAAATATTGCTAGATATATTTTTATTTTCCTTTTTTATAATTTTCTGTATTCTCTAAATTTTCTATAATAAACATATTCTACTTTTGTAATTGGTAAGCCGGTTATAATTTTAATATAATGATGGGACAGTTCATTAAGGAATTATTTATCAAAGTTAATTTTTCTAACAATGTTTCAGTAACTAAATATGTTTCTTCATAGAAAGTTATTAATTTATAATGATTATATATTTATTTATTATCTATCTTCTTTAGTAGAATGTCAGCTTCTATCTTTGTATTTGTACCATAGCTCTATGTAACAAGCGCTTTCTGCCCTAAGGGAAATTCTATCTGTATCTTCCAATACAGTAGCCACTAGACAGATATATGTAGTGACAGAATACTTGAAATGTAGCTAGTGCAACTGAAAACTTGAACTTTTTATCTTATTTAATTTTAATTAATGTAAATGTAAACTTATGTAGCCAAAATCTGTATGGACAATGTAATTCTAGAGCCAGAATCGTTCCAGGCAAAGAGTATTTGCTAAATGAACACTTGTATAATGCTTGGGCATTATTTGATGGCACTGGGATAAGAACAGAGATAAAGTTAGTATTATCCAACATGTATTGATAATATTCATATTGAAAATGAGCCAGTTTGGAAGTTGTTGGCCCTAATATCAAAACGAAACGGGCAGCAGTAGCTCCAGTGACGCTGAGAAATGCTTGTGTGTGTCACTCGGCTGTGTCCAACTCTTTCAGACTGGAGCCTGCCAGGCTCTTCTGCCTGTGAGATTTTTCAGGCATGATTACTGGAGTGGGTTGCCATTTCCTTCTTCAGG